GCAACCATTTTTGTAGTTTTGTTAAATACATGACCAAATAATTTTTGTATCATAAGCCGAGCTCTTCAATTCTGCTTGTGCTTAATTCTCAATAGTGTTGAAATACTCAAAATCAAAATCAAGATAAGCATATCCAAAAATCAGTCTGCAAGTACACAAAACAAATTTGTCTAAGTAGAAACAGCAACAAAAAAATACAAAAAGAAAGAAAACGAAGAAAAAGGAAAGAAAAAAAAGAGAGATTTTATGAAAAGAAATAATTGACCACAATAAGGAAAGAATAAGTAGGGTACATATGATCTTGCAGATTTTGTAGACATGAAATAAGGAAATACAATTAATAAAATTGAATGTTCACGCCCCACAAAGTAAGAAACGGAAGACAAATTTTAGGAAAGAAATAATAATGGTAATAATGAGGAATGAATAAGTAAGATATATTTAATTCTCGGTAACTTTTTAGACTTGGAGTACTGAAAAAGTTCAAAATTTTGAGAAAATAGATAAATAGAGATTCTTGTCAATGAGACATGTCACATCAACTCTCAATTTCCCTCTATAGATTTTGTACATTTCATCTGCTTAACAGGTTAACATAGGTGCATCATCACTGGAAGTTGTTTGTCCTATATTAAGGCCAGCTAAGAGCTGAAAACGGGAAAAAATTAGAGTTTCCTCTTCAACAACAATAGTTGAAGTGTGACCCAACTGATCCTAACACTATTAATACCATTATAACCAGTATAGGTAAATGTGGGGTCGGATCTAACCAGTATAGGTAAATGGGGGATGGGATCGAATATGAGCGGGTTGAAAATGAGTTTATCACTCCCTGTCCTTTCTCCACGTGAAGATAAGATGATATGAAATTTGTTTTGAGTGATCGTTAATGAAATATTTAGTCCCTCAGTCCCATTTTATGTGCCTTTTTTACATTCTATTGAAGATTAAGGCATGTTATTGCAGGTTTGTTTGTTGACAATATATGTGGAGCTTTCAAGTGGTATAATTAAGCACTTTCAAGTTTAAATATACTCAAAGGCAAGTGTATATAATTTTTAGAAAAATATTATGTACATATATGTATTTAATAAATAAAAAATTGCAAAGATATGTCGGATAATATATCTTGAAGCAATTAATGTGCGTCTGTCACCTTGAAGCGATGTCTTTTCTAGTACTCATATGGAGACAACGGGATAGTTAATTAGAAGAATTAAAGGAAGTAATCACAACAGATGCGACAAGGTAAATCCATTTCATTTTTATTAAATGTATATATGTGTAATGGATCCAATATCTAAAACCAAATACAGAAACCACATATTGATATATTAATACTGAGAACAAAGAAATTACACTGAAAAGTAACAATATCTAAGGATAGTACAGAAAGAAAGGAGATGAGAGAAAAAGACTAGGAAGAGAGAGACCACGAGAGGGGTATTTCCAAATAACAATTCGCATAACCTCCTTGCCAACCGCTAGTCCCTTTTATCTGATTCCTTACTGCAGTTATTGGGCCTGAATCGTAAATTAACCTTTTTAAAGGCTTTGTCCTCTGGCTTCTTCTCGACCCAATAACTCTTCTCAGCTCGATATCGGGTTGGGGCTGATTCGTAATAATACATATTGTATACAGGGCGGTGGCGGAGTGTTACTTGCGGGGTATTAATAATGAATCTATTAAATATGTGTAAATATTTAATTTCAAACTCAGTAACTAAAACGAACTATGAAAAACATGACAGTTTAAAACCCATAAACTTTAAATCTTTGCTCTCCTATACATAATAGGGTAGCAAAATCAGAAAGCCTTAAATTACGTCTAATTTATTGTGTTACATATAGATAAAGCAGTCTCTGACCTAGCAAGTGGATCGGGTTAACCCACTTAATCCACAAATTGGCCCGTGAGTTGATGCCGGAAACCAGCCCAATCCCCACTATAGCGGGCTTAAAATGGGCCAGTCTTAAAGCCCAAAATTCTAATACTTGAGGCCCACTTGTTCGAAGTGGGATGTGGACTAAAACGATACAAATGGAGCCCAAATTCTAACAGCTTTCTGCGTTAATTCTCGCCGAACCCTCTCTCTCAGCTGCCAACTCAAGCGTTCTCCTTCTCCGACGGCTGATATTGTATGTTTGTATCTTTAATTAGACCAGACTCTTTAACCTTCTTTTTTTTTTTGCAGTGATTATTAGTGGCAAAATGCAAATGCTTAGTGAATTGGATTAAAATGACGTGTTTGCTTCCATTTGAATAAAGCTTCAAATTCCTGTGTAATATATCAATAGTATTGCATTTTCATAAAATAGGATTTAAGTTATATGCAATGACATTACAAAAGAATTTTACACCATTAGCATAATTTAACCTGTTATAGTAAGTTACTTGCATTTGAGAATCATTATATTGATGCAAGTAATACTATTAGTGTAATTTAACCTGTTATAGTAGGTTAGTAGCTTTTTAAGTGACTTGATGGCATAAATACTATTTACACCGTGCATAGAACTTAAACTCAAATGTTAATAGTATTGCATTTCCATAAAATAAGTACATATTGATGTTCACGGTGCCTTTTTTTTGGAAATATTTTGGTGAAGACTTACCAATTGCAATTGCAAGATGGCTGTGTTTGCCATTGCTATATATAACCTATAAGATTGAGCATATTTGTCAAAACCCGAATTCTAGAACTTCATTGGCTTTATGACATAAGTTTTGGTGGATAGAGTTACCCAGTACCTGTGTTGGTTGGATATATCAACTATGCATGCAAGCTAACAGGGATATTACTGCTATTTAAAAAAATAGTCACTAATAATGTGAATTGGTGGTGCATTTTTATTTATTTATTTCAATTTGCAGAATACTGTCATAGATGCTTTAAATGTAGTAACGCGGTCAGTGAGGATTCATAGCCTACCCTAACTTATTTTGGACTGAGGCAAAGTTGTTTTTTTTCTTTTTGTGAAAAAAAGAATGATTGGCAATTCGAGACGCTAGGATGTTAGAATGTATTTGATGAATCCCTCTGTCATCGGCAGTGTTTCAAAGGCTCATTTGCGCGCTTAAGCCCTGAAGCTCAAAAGAGCTCAGGGTATGCGCTTCGCTTCACTTATGTTGCGCTTCAATGGAGGCAAAACACTAAGGCGCGCGCTTCATTGCCCATAAGTTCTATGTTAATAGAGCAATAAAAAACAATAAATATAATTAGCAAAAAGATATATTAATTGTTATGGAAATCATTATGTATTAAATTGTCACTTTTTTCTTGCATTATATATATATTTTCTTCGTTGCGCCTTTTTAAACTAAAGCCCGCACTTTAATTGCGCTTTGCGCTTAGAGCTTTGAGAGATGTGGAGTGCTTTTTAACGCTTTTCGCTCGTGACAACACTGGTCGTCGGTGGTGGGCCAGGTGGAGATTGGTCTTTGATCAGCAATGTTCCATTGCTTTGGGAGGGTAAGGACAGTAAAAGAAAGTTAATGAGGTTTTCTGAATTTGTTCGTTGCTTATGGTAACAACCTTGGTGATTAAGCTGTGTTGTCTGTAAGCCTATGCATTGGGATTTTTGATGTGTTGCTCGACTTTCTATGATAAGTCATCTATAGTTCTGAGCATGGGCTTTTTGTATTTGTTCCTAATTTCAGCGTTGAAACTTGCTACTGAAGTATTCAACAGCAGCCAAAAATGTCTCGGAAAGGATTGATGGAGCAGGACCTAAGCAAATTGGATGTGACAAAGTTACATCCACTTTCGCCTGAAGTTATTTCTCGTCAGGCTACTATAAACATTGGTAAATTAGTTACTTATAACTCTATATTTTTTTTCTCTTTCTTTTCCTTCTCTCTCCATACAAGCGCTTTTACACTTTACATTAGTCACACTGAACTACTGAAATGTAATTTCATCATCTAGGTACTATTGGCCATGTGGCTCATGGGAAGTCAACAGTTGTAAAAGCTATATCTGGTGTGCAGGTATGTCGTGTTTAATACCTTTATCAATATTATCCATTTCTGAGAAAAAGAAATCTGTACCTTTATCAATGGAGTTAAATTTCTGAGTCTTGATATTTTATCCCGCTAGTTCATAAAACTCTGGTCTGACGTGTCAGTCCTGTTGTTTAGTTACTATCGAGTGATATTTTGATTCTAGTAAACAGTAAATACAGGTTCTTATTTACCTTTTTATTTAACAACTATTCTTAGAGTGAATTATTGATATCTAAGGCTTAGTTGCTATTATTCTTTTTTCTGTGTGTAGTTCATTTACTAGAAAGCATTTCTGAGTTCTATCTTTTTCCTTTTGTTTTGGAGAAAAGATAAAGTAATGTCACGCACTCCTATTTAGTTTGGTGATAATGAACAAAGTTATCACTATTATATTAACCAACAAGATATGGAGCCTATGTTAGTTGTTTGGGAAACTTATGCTGGATTAATCAGCTTTTACGGAAATTAATGTTTTTTAATCTGTTGTGGGCTATATCAATTGATATTTCTTAGATGTTGATTATTAAGTCCTTGTTTTGATCTGATCTTTGTTTACTCTTACTTATTTTACTCGTACTGTGTTCACTGCAAGTACTCAGACTGCGAATAATTATACCCACTTATTGTGCAGACTGTTCGTTTTAAAAATGAGCTAGAACGTAATATTACAATTAAGCTTGGATATGCAAATGCTAAGATATACAAATGTGAAGAAGAGCGCTGTCCTAGACCCATGTGCTACAAGTGAGTCCTTGATTTGAAACAGAAACATTGTTGTGCTTCATTTGGTAGCCTGTGCTGTAACAACAATCATTTCCAGGGCATATGGTAGTGGAAAAGAAGACAGTCCCATGTGTGATGTCCCTGGTTTTGAGAACTGCAGGATGAAATTACTGAGGCATGTATCTTTTGTTGATTGCCCAGTAAGTTCCTCGCATGCCACTCTCTACAGTATGTATTACTGCCATTTTGCCTGTGCATTCTGTTTCTGTACGAGATGATTAACCTTTAGTTTGACTGTGCTTAGATATTACCATACCAGAGAAATATTAAGGATTGTTGCTTTGGTATTGAAGCAATAGAAAAGTGTTAAAGAAAAGGTTCCAATAAATTATTTCTGCTGAATTCGAATCCAAATTGATACACCTTTTCCTTATCAAAAAAAAAATGAATTATTTCTGCTTTCTTTGTACTGAATGCTCAACATTATATTTAAGCTTTAGTGTACCCATTTAATTTGCAGTACCTATTAGCTTTCTATAAGATTGAAAGAAGTCTTGGAAGATAAGTATTTTTCTTCCCCGTGTTTTATGTGTGTTTCTATTTTATTTATTTATTTTTGTTTCAGAAGTATAGGCCTATTTTAGAAAGATATATCCAGCTTTAGTATCGTTATCTAAACAATCGCTGGTGACCCTCAACTTTGCATCTTTGAACCGTTTATTATAATAAACTACTATGTAATTGTCCCTTTTGCTGAAAATTACTGCACCTTTTTTAACGGTTTTGGATATTGGATATTTGAACTTGCGGCATGCACTTTGGAATACATAATTTTAAGAGATTTTTCTCTTTAGTTGTGTTGTCATTAACGTACACTTATGTTACTCTGTCAGTAGATAATTCTCCTTACTGGGGGAGATTAGTTTGTTTAATAAATTGCAGTCATAACACTGACAAACTAATTCATGCTGTACTTTGCATCCTTGTGATCTCTGCCGCATAACTTTCTATTATACCAATGCTGCCTATAACATTGTTTTCTGCAGGGTCATGATATTCTCATGGCTACGATGCTTAATGGAGCTGCAATTATGGATGGAGCCTTACTTCTGATTGCTGCCAATGAGAGCTGTCCCCAACCTCAAACTTCCGAACATTTAGCAGCGGTTGAAATTATGCGCCTCCAACATATCATAATTCTTCAAAATAAGGTTGATCTAGTCCAGGAAAATGTTGCCATCAACCAGCACGAGGCAATTCAGAAATTTATTCAAGTTAGTGGAATACTGCTTTTCTTTCACCACTCACATTCTGTGCTTCATTTGTGAGGATAGTCAGTCTTATCATACCATAATTTCAAAATCTTATTCAGGGAACTGTTGCAGATGGTGCCCCAGTTGTACCAATATCTGCACAACTGAAGTACAATATTGATGTCGTTGCTGAATATATTGTGAAAAAAATTCCCATTCCCGAAAGGAATTTCATTTCACCACCAAATATGATTGTTATCCGGTCATTTGATGTCAATAAACCTGGTTTTGAAGTTGATGATATCAGAGGTGGTGTTGCTGGTGGCAGTATTTTGAAGGTATCTTTCTCTTTTCCAGCAATTAATGATACTAGTCTTTGACAGTGGGTTTAATTTATTTATTTTTTAATCACATAAATTTTATTAAATAATGTATTTGAATCGTAGAATAACAAGCAAAGAAAAAAATTCATGCCCTGGAAATGATGAAGGTTAATGATATTTAAATAACTCAACAAAGGAAGAAATATTACCCTCATGGAAGTCCTACAATTTTAAATGCATCATTGAATTATCCACATATTATTGAATTTATATAAAAACGACCTTTTCAATTAATTGACTTGCACCTTTATAGCAAAAGGAAGACCTTCATAATGATTAATTAGATTCTTTGCGCAGGGTGTATTGAAGGTAAATCAACTTATTGAGGTTCGCCCTGGAATTGTTGTCAAAGATGAGAGTGGAAACATCAAATGTACTCCAATATATTCAAGAATAGTATCATTGTTTGCCGAGCAAAATGAATTACAATTTGCTGTGCCTGGAGGACTCATTGGAGTTGGAACCACTATGGATCCAACATTAACACGTGCTGATCGATTGGTGGGACAGGTTCTTGGGGAGGTTGGGTCACTTCCTGAAGTTTTCGTCGAACTAGAGGTAAATGACTTCCTTGAAACATTTCAGGAACTTTTTAACCAGCTAAAACAAGACTATATGTCTCTTCTTAAATAACCCTTTTCTCTTTTAAGCTTTGAAATAGTTAAGTCTGTTGTGAAGGAACTACTTTTCTATGAGTCTACTGTTTTTGATGGACTGTGTTATCAAATTAATAGGCTCACTCTTTATCCTCCTTCCCACTGAGTTCTTCTAGAGTGCTCTTATGTATCCTTTCCTTATTTCTTTACCTTTGAAATGCAGGTGAATTTCTTTTTGCTCCGACGTCTTTTGGGTGTGAGGACAAAGGACTCGGAGAGGCAGGGTAAAGTCTCAAAGTTGGCAAAGGGAGAAATCCTCATGTTAAATATAGGGTCTATGTCAACAGGGGCTCGTGTTGTCGCTGTGAAGAATGTATTCGCGAAATTGCAATTGACATCACCTGTGTGTACCAGTAAAGGTGAGAAAATTGCTCTTAGCCGGAGAATTGAGAAGCACTGGCGACTTATTGGTTGGGGCCAAATCCAAGCTGGTATTACTATTGATATTCCACCCTGCCCCATCTGAGTAAATTTTACACGACTAGTTACTGAACAGCTAGAAAAACTGTTAAAAACAACACAAAAAGTTGGATTTAGATGTGGAAAGGCGAGTAGTTGCGGGTAACTATTTTTTCCAGGTAGAGTAGAAAAGATTATTTGAAATTCCAGATATTCTATAGTCCTACATTTATTTTCCACTTGTTTCTTTGTCCAAGTGGTTGCATCTTGTATTTCATTAGTTTAGGTGGTTACTAGAATGAGTTCCATTCATCTTGCAGCAGATTTACGAACCAACCATTGATGTAATATTATCTACTCAATTTTGTATGCTTTCTACTGAAGTTGCACAAACCTAAAACTAATGCTTGTTGTCAAAATCCCAACAAATGTGCGTGATTTTACAAGTCAAAACCTTAGGGTATAGAGTGGATCATACTAAGCAAATCAAGAAACTATCGCAGGTATAGTTATTGGGACTAGGATTTAAAAAGTTAATACCATTTGCACTACTGTTAAGGGAAAGAAGGTAGAAAGATTTTTCCTTTTAATGCTTTTTAAGAAGTTTCCCTACCCTACCAACCCCTAGAACTTAATTAGGGACCTAAATACCTAACCAAGTGATTGATTGTATTTGTATATATTTCTGGTGGGTGCTAAAATAGTAGTATGTCCTTTAATAGTAAAGTTCATAAGATTTCACTCATTACTACTTAGCCGAAACAGACTTAAGTGTTATTATGACATGGGGTCGTCATTGCAATCGTGTCGATGATTAGTAGTTATCACCGAAGATAGAGCTACGATTTCAACAACGATCTCAAGTGCTAATAATTGAATTTAAATTTTAATACAAGTATATTGTCGGAGCAAAAGCTATTAGATTCGGCTGAACCTACCACCGAGCTTCTGCCCCTGATTATCACCCATTTAGTACTCATCCTAATTTCCTCAATCAAGAGTTGTAATTAGGCATAAATTGTCAGAGCAATAGAAAGATGATGTAATATTATGTACATTTCAAATGCTGGACGAGATATTGTGTGAAATACTCAAAATAGCAGAGAAATAAAGTATAGTACACTTAAATGTGTCAAAGAGTGAGTAAGATAAGTAATATTATGTGTTCAATCACAAATCAGATTCCAACAAAAGATCTTTTACCAACCAAAACTGTGCTTCTGACACACTATAACCCCTACAACCAAAAGAGGAAATTAAACAATAAAAAAGGCCGTCTCATGCACAAACAGGATTCGGAGGAAGTCCTCAACCCAAGAATTATGAAATAGACAGCCTATGCAAGCATTAGTAGTACTTTCACGCAACAAACTCTGTAACCTATAGATAATAGGAAGATAACTTTAAGAGTTGTTCACCCAAGAAGTATGACGTGCAAAGTCTTCCATAATACAAACATTAATCAGTACAAGCGTGTGACTTATATATCATAGGAAAACAACTTTATAATCGTCGCTCTAAGGCTCTCTTTGATTCTCCTAAACAGTGATGATACATAAAACAAAGATGAACAAAACCTCATAAATGAACATAGTCTAAACAATAAAAATGTAAATTTGTATAGTGTCATTTACTTTGTGAACTAGAAAAACCTTCCTAGCCTCTAATTTGTCAATAAAGAAGGAATGGCAGCCAAATTTGGAGTAGCATTCTTGTTTGAGGCTTCTCTTTTCTTACTTGATAATGGTTTACTAAAAGCTCTCATTGGACTTGCTAATACCCATCCCCAATAAGATGAAGAAGAATTAGTAATCATAAAACCACTAAAAATCCCTCTACATCTTACTCTTTCTTTAATGCATTCTTTTCTTGAGGAAACTCTATGTTTACCTTCTCTTTGAGACTCAACTCTGCGCAAAATACAATCACCTGAAACGTTTCTGCTTCCACAGCCAATAGATCTGGATCTTGAATAAACCTGAATAGGACTGATCTCATTTTCCTCTACCACTATAGAACCACCACTCAAAGCTGAAGATGAAGGAAAGTTAATGTCTTTTGTAGGGTTTTCAGATTTCTTAACTGTGGAAAAATGTTTAGAAGATGAGTTGTAAAGAAATGACCATAACCCTTTTTTCTGATGGACAAAATTTTCACCTTCAGACTTTCTTGATTTTGTAAAGTTAGTGGTATTCTTGATGTTGGTTTGGAGTGAAAGAGATGAAGAAGTAATGGAAGTGTTACCAAAATCAGATTTAAAAGAAGAAGTTGAAGAGGAAGAAGAATAAGAAGGAAAAACAGCAGAGGAAGAAACAAGGTTTCCAAGTTTTTCTTGAAGGCAAAAAGGACAAATCCCACCTGGGGTTGTATTATTTTTGTAAGGATGATTTGTACATTGGAAAATACCTTCACCTATGTTTTCTTGAACCCCTTCCATCACTATTTTCACTACTATATAGTAACTAGTAATAGCTTCTCTTCTTCTTGAGAACAGCTAACTAGAGCTTAACTTAAAGAGCTGATGAAAAAGAAAGAAAATTAAGATAGTTATGAAATGGAAAGATGGAGAGAAAAGGGAGGAGAAGAAGAAGAAGGGAAAATGGCGAGAATGGGGAGTAAAAATGAAGGAATGGAAATAAAGGAAAAAATATTATGGCATTGAAGTAGGAGAGATGGTATTCCCGAGGAGCATGTGGAATCCTGACTAACTTAGATGGAGTAGTAGTAATTAAAGGAGCTGATAAACAAGACAATAAACCCCTAGGAGCTACTAATATGCATATTAGGTCTCATTTTAACTGTTGTTTTAGCGCTTTTTTTAATTTATTAAAAAAAATAATAAATACAATATATTGTTTATTAAGTTTTCCTTATTTAATGAAAGTAGATTGATTTTTTCCTCTTAAACGCTATGCATTCTTATTATTTCATCCGTTTCAATTTAGATATTGATAGTTTGATTCGGCAAGAAGTTTAAGGAAAAAAATACTTTTGAAATTTGTGATCTTAAAAGCTTAAGGGGTAAAAGATTTGTGGGGCATTGTTCAAATTCATCCCAATCAGTTGAAATTGATAAGAGAATAAGGAAGGAGAAAGTGTCGAACTGTTTTCTCTCATTATCAAAATGAATAGAATGCCTAATCAGTAAGCTATACAAGTATATTATATACTAACTCTAGCTGCTATATTTAAGTTAACGGACAGCTGTCAACTAACTAATACCAGTTGTCAACTAAGGCACTAAGGCACAGTAGTGCATGTTACTAACTCATCTACACCCTCCCTCAAGCTAGGTGAAATGAAGATGTTTTCCATTCCTAGCTTGGACACCAAGTAAGAATGTTGCGCCTTAGTAAGACCTTTAGTAAGCACATCGGTTTGTTGCTCAGCAGAGGAAAGGTAAAGAGTAGCCACCAAACCTTGCTGCACCTTCTCCCGAATAAAGTGACAATCAATGTCGATATGCTTAGTACGCTCATGGAAGACAGGATTAGCAGTTATTTGAATGGCAGATTTGTTGTCACAAAATAGAGACACAGAGAGTTGAAAATAAACCGACAGTTCCTTGAACAAGCCAATGATCCAAACAATCTCAGCCACCGTAGAAGCGAGACTCTTATACTCTACTTCAGCAGAGCTTCGAGAAATAGTTGTCTATTTCTTGGACTTCCAGGAAATCAGGGAGTCACCAAACTTCACAAGGTAACCAGTGACAGACCTCCTTGTGTTGGGACAAGAGGCCCAATCAGCATCGCAATATGCAGCCAACTTATTAGAACCAGTCGCAGACAAGAAAATACCAAGACCAGGCTCTTGTTTGACATATCTCACAACTCTACGAGTTGCCTCCATGTGAGACACCTTAGGAGCCTGCATGAATTGACTCAGACATTGCACAGCAAAAGCAATGTTTGGTCGAGTAATGGTCAAGTAGAGAAGCCTGCCAATTAACCTCTAATAACTGGAAGGATCGGTCAGGAGACAGTCAGCTGATTGACCAAAGTGTTGATCGTATTCAGCAGAAGTAAGCTTGAGATTTAATTCTATGGGTGCACCAAGAGGCTTAGAACCAGCCAGCCCCATGTCTGAAATAAGCTCTAAAGCATATTTCCTCTGATGCATCACAATACCAGTCTTGTTTCTAGCGAACTCAATACCTAAGAAGTATTTGAGTTCCCCTAGATCTTTAATCTTGAAATGTTGCTGCAAAGCATCCTTGGTCTCTTGAATTAGCTGAGCATCATCTCCAGTTATAAGGAGATCATCGACATAGATCAAAACAACCACCATCTTGCCAGCAACCTTCTTAGTAAGCAAGGAATAATCCAAATGACTTTGAGAAAACCCTGAAGAAATCAATGTAGTAGTCAACTTAATGTTCCATTGTCTAGAGGCTTGCTTAAGGCCATATAGCGACCTATGCAGCCTACAAACAGAGTGTTTCCCTAAGGGAACAAAACCTTGAAGGAGCTCCATATAAACTTCTTCATGTAGGTCGCACTGTAAGAAAGCATTAAAACATCCATATGATGTATGATCCATCCCTTAGAGGCAGCCAAGGAAATCACGGATCTCACAGTAACCATCTTCGCCACGGGTGAGAATGTCTCTTGATAATCAATACCCTCCTTTTGGTTGTATCCCTTTGCCACTAATCGTGCCTTGAACCTCTCAATTTCACTAGAGGCTTGATACTTAATTGTATACACCCTTTTACACCCTATGGCCTTCTTACCTTTGGGAAGAGGCACCCTTTTATACCCTATTTCAGCTTTCATGAAATCTTTCCATCTACTATCTTTAGCAGCTTTATGATAATTTCAGGGTTCCACTTCAATGTAAGATTTGGCAATATAGCTTTGATAAGAGGTAGACAAACCAGTGTAGTATAGCACAGAGGAAATAGGGTAGAGACAAGTATTAGCAGTAGGACGACCATTATCTGGTCTGACGAAATCCTTGAGCCAAATAGGGGTTCTACTAGTTCTGTCTGATCTTCTCAAACCAGGAAATGGTATGTCTTCGTAAGCTGGTACAATAGCTCCCTGATCGGCATTAGAAGATGGTGGTGGTTCACCTGCTATCAAGATTGTATCTGACATCACCTCTCGAGACTGTGGAGGTTCTTCTGCTGTTGTAACTATAGCCGGCAGCACTTCCTGAACATCTTGGGTGTTCTGAACTGGAAGTAAGTTAAGTGGTTGAACATCAGATAAATGCTTCTGAACAGAATATTGCATCTTCTAAACAGGACATTGCATTTGTTGAATACCCGGCATCATTTGAAAAGGATACATATCTTCATAAAACACAACATCCCTACTTACAGATATAGTTTTGTTCACCAAATCTAACAACGTGTACCCCTTTTGAGCAGCCACATAACCCAGCATAACAGCCTTAATGGCCCTTGGAGCAAATTTGTCTCTTCTAGTCAAGCTAGTAGCATAACATAGACAACCAATAACCCTCATATGCGAAAGATTAGGTGGCTTCCTGAATAAGGCCTCATATGGTGAAATATTTCCCAGAACTGTGGAAGGTATCCTGTTAATCACATAAAGGCAGCTTCGGTACAAATACCCCAAAACCTGATAGGTAAATGACTCTGAAACCTAACAGCCCTGGCAGTTTCTAAAATATGTCTATGCCTCCTCTCCACTGCTCTATTTTATTGTAGAGTATATGGATAAGAACTCTGATGTACGATACCAAATCTGTTGAACAACTTAGTGCAATGGCTATTAAAAAACTCTGTCCCATTGTCCGATATAAATGACTTAACAGCTTTGCCAAATTGAGTGAAAACCATGACAATAAAATTCTTAAGCACAGTAACAACATCAGATTTTAGATTCAACAAGAAAACCCAAGTTTATCTGGAAAAATCATCTACTACCATAAGAAAATATCGCATTCCATTATAAGTGGGAGCTTGTAAGGACCCCAAACATCCATGTGCAACAATTGAAAAGAGTCAGTTGTTCGACTACGACTAACCGGAAATGGTGCTCTAGTTTGTCTAGCTAGTGGGCAAATAGCACAATGGTGTGATATAAAGCTAGACTTATTCCCAAGCATGGAAATCTTCCTAAGAACTGGCATATGTACATGACCTAATCTCTTATGCCATAGTTCTGCAGATACTTCAGTTGTTGCAGCCAAAGACTTCATAAGGCTCCTGGCATCTTGTCGTTTCCTTTGTGACTTCAACACGTACAAGCCATCCTCCTCTCTACCAATCCCCTTCACCTTCCCAGTGAAGAGATCCTGAAAGAGAAAGAAATGAGGAAAAATGTGGCATAACAACTCAGTTCCTTAGTCAGCTTTGATACTGACAAAAGATTAAATCTAAAGTTCGGTACATATAACACACGACTTATCAGATCACCTCCAAGCAACTCACAATTACCAACTTGTGTTATCTCAGTTGAATCTCCATTTGGAAGTTATACCTTTCCTGAATTCCCTACTAATCCATCACTATTCAATAAAGATGCATCATGTATCATGTGATTTGTCGCTCCGGAATCAACTATCCATTTAGAAACATCTACAGAGGAAGAAAGTGGTTTACCTGCCATGTTAGCAATAGCCTCGCTAATGGAAGATTTACCCAACATGCTCAAAATTTGATTGTATTGCTCTTGTGTGATGACTGGAGTTGCATTCAAGTTAAGTCTTTGTTGCACATTAAGACCTCTCAGCACATTGTCACCTCCTTCTAATGGAGTGAGACATGTAGTCACTAAATTCTCCTTCTTCTTCCCTTTGAAATCAGCTGGATACCTCATAATTTTGTAACATTTTTCTTTCAAGTGCCTTTTCATGCGACAGTGCTCACAAACCATCAACTTAAAGCAGCTTGTTCTTATGTGACCTTTCATATTGCACTGGTCACAATATAGGTTTTTTCTGATTCTGTCCTCCATTTCTAGCAGCAAGCAATGTTGTGGGATCGACTTTGTCCATCAAAATATAAGTGCCTCCTGCAAGTTGTTTTTGGCTTTCATCTTGCATTAATATAACATAGACTTGGTTGATGTTTGGCATAGGTTTCATCATTAAAATTTGACTGCGAGCATGACCATAATGGTCATTCAATCCCATTAGAAATTGATAAAGACGCTGCCTCTCAAAATTTACAAGAGAGTCCCTAGACTTTGCACAATCACAAGAAGGAGGTACCAGCGAGTCATACTCATCCCATAAATCTTTCATTCTGGAAAAATACTCTGAGATAGATGAGAGCCCCTGAGTTAATGTAGCAATTTCCCTATGCAAGTAGTAAGCTCGCGAATCATTCACCTTATCAAAGCGTTCCTCCAGGTCCTTCCAAACGAGTGCTGTACTGGAACGAAATAAGATCCCAGACAGTAGATTTCGATGCACGTTCCCCATTAGCCATGAAAGCACAATAGCATTGCAACGGTCCCAATCCTTTGCGAGATCGCCAGAATAATCAGCTCGAACAATAGAGCCATCAATAAAACATAATTTGTTGCGTCCTAGAAGAGCTACCTTCATAGCTCGGCTCCAAATCATGTAATTTTCCATACCGACAAGCTCAATCCCAACTGATAGTGAACCAGGTGTATTGGACGGATACATTTATAATGGATGATGATGATCAATTATAGGAGAAGAATTTCCCGTAGTCAAAGAAGTAGTACCGCCAGGACTCCCCATAATCGAAGCTCAAAAAGCGAAATACAAAACAAAAACAGGAATTGCCGACGAATCTCTCGAAATTTCAGTCAAGTAATCGACGAAAAAAACCCTAGATTCACTCAGCTATGAATTGCCGATGAATCTCTCGAAATTTCAGTCAAATAATCGATGAAAGAACCCTAGATTCACTCAGTTTTCGCTCCCGCTCTGATACCATGTTCAAATTCATCCCAATCAGTTGAAATTGATAAGAGAATAAGCAAACAAGGAAGAAGGAGAGAGTGCCAAACTGTTTTCTCTCATTATCAAAATGAATAGAATGCCTAATCAGTAAGCTATACAAGTATATTACTATATTATATACTAACTCTAGCTGCTATATTTAAGTTAACGGACAGCTGTCAACTAAGGCACTAAGGCACAATAGTGCATGTTACAAACTCCTCTACAACCATGATATTTGTGTGGTTATAAAAGCTTCTCATTAAGGGTAAAATGAGGAGTTTAAAGTTGAATTATTTCAAAATTTAGAAATGTGTCATTTATTTTGGAACAAACTAAAAGTATCTCATCTAATTTGAAACAAAGGGAGTAATAAATGTAGTTTTATATTCCTAAAATGATAATTATTTTGGGACAATATTTTTAAGCTAAAATGACATTTAAAATGGGACGAAGCGAGTACTTATATGTTTGTATATTATTGTAAATATAAATGCACTATATGTATGTAGCAGATGTATATTCCCTCCATTTTAATTTATGTGATATAATTTAATTATGTACAAAATTTAAAAGAAAAGAAAGATTTAAAAATTATAATCTTAAACATATATAATAATTATGTGGTAATGAAATAAAAACTTCACATTTAAATTATTTTTAAAAAGCTATCATTCTTGTTAAAATGGAAAGAAATACTGAATTGAAACAATGGAGTATGCATAAGGGGTATTTGCATAATTTAGATAAATTAAAGAGGAATTAGCGTAATTAACCAGTAAATCAATGTCAATATAAGTAGTACAATTTTCAATGCAGACCTATTTATCCGTGAAACAGCCAGCCTTTACAGAAAGAAAAGAAAGGAATCTCTGTATTTGCAAAGGATTTGTGCAAAGTCCAAGGTGACACTGCTGCAGCAAAGGGAAGAAGACAACGGAGATATGGGTTTACTTTTTATGGGGTTGTTTTCCATAAAGAATGTGGGAAAAGTTTCTGATAGCAGTAGATGTAAGCAAGTATTCTTCACAACTTTCATCTTTTAGCCCTGCTATATGTACCTACAGCTTTCACTTCTTTGTCGAGAGTCTTCAGTCTTCACTCATAGCTTCTTTATTAGTCAAGCTTCTAAAATTAGTTTATTTTAAAAAATATTATTTTAAAAGTATTTTGTTTAAATACTTATAATAAAAAATAATTTATGTTTGATTAATTAATTTGAAAAATATTTTTGTCAGCAATTTATAATTAAATATATTTATTAAGTCCACGAGCAAACTCAACCTAATCTCAATCAAACCTCACGGGCAACGAATTTACTTGGACCGAACTTAAAAACCTCATTTTTAAATGAAGTTTTTACCTCATGTATTAAAGGTTGATACCTTATTTATTTTAAATAAACACCTTTTTAAAAAATTATATTCCATAGCTACTTTTTGATTTTTATAGCCAAATATCTATTTATGGTCACCTCCTACCCTTAATCCATAAAATACGTTTTGTATTATTTTTCTTTCTTATTTTTTTAGATTTTTCTCCACCACTCTCTCTCTCTCAACGCCAATCTTTCTCCATGAATACAATCACGATTCTCCATTGATTCATCTCCATTGTCTCGCCAAATTTTCATTGTCAGTAGGTTGGGGTTCTAAATCAATGTCGAAATCAAGCCATAGAGAGAAAGATGGAGGTTCGAAATCTGCCATTGAAAGGTGAATTGATGGAAATTTTTGAGGGGTTGTATATTTGAAATATGAATTGGAGGGATTTGCAAATGAAATTATAGTGAAATATTTGGGGAATTTCTTTCGTTTTTGCACCAAATTTTGAGAGTTTCGAGTCAGAATCGTGGCCCTATCGACGATACGGCATTAGGGTTGTTCTTGAATAAAGACGACAAAGTTTGGGGCTGAGCAACTTGAAGAGTCTGTTACCTTTTTTTCAATTGTATTTCAATGTATCTCGCTGTATTCTATGTATTTCATTGTATTCATTGTCTTTTTTTCATTGCATTTCAATGTATCTCGCTGTATTCTATGTATTTCATTGTATTCATTGTCTTTTTTTCATTGCATTTCAATGTATCTCGCTGTATTCTATGTATTTCATTGTATTCATTGTCTTTTTTTCATTGCATTTCAATGTATCTCGCTGTATTCTATGTATTTCATTGTATTCATTGTCTTTTTTTCATTGCATTTCAATGTATCTCGCTGTATTCCATGTATTTCATTGTATTCACTGTCTCGCTATATTCCACGAATGTATTCATATATTTTTTTTAGTTAATATAATTGATGTATGCAGATGTATATATGTATTCAAATGTATTTGGAGTATATATTCATATGTTTTTGCACTATAGATAACCTGTTATACTTCATGTATTCAATGTATTTTTATGCATTTAATTGTATTCAATGAATTGTATAATTTCAATATATAAATCTATTTGTAAAGACACCACAAGAAAATATTTTAGTAAAGATACCACTAAAAAAAGAAAGGATGGATTGAATCTCTTAAGATTGCTCTGTTTTTTAGGTGTTTTTCCATTGAGAATCTTTTTATAACCGAAAATACAAATTTTGTGTGTTATAATTGAGTTTGTTGAGTTATATTAGGAGTCTATCGCGTTAATTGATTCACTTACCGTTTTTAAACAGTTGAAGACCTTTTTTCGCAAATTTTGTTATTGTATTCACGAATATAGCTTGTGAATACAGTCGAATACATTCTCTGCTTAGCTGGACTCCCCTATTTTCTACCGAGTTTTGCTACTGTATTCATGAATACAGTAGGAAAAATATATCAAATACAGTCTATAACAATTGAAAAACATAGCTATATGAAGCAATTTAGTAAATGATGGCTATAGCAATCTAATAATCACTAAAACATAGTGGTTTCTGAAAATTTCTCTTTTTAATAGGTTTCAAAAATCTTAGCCCAAGCTACTAAGCTAGCATTTGGCCATAGATTCCAAATTTGTTTTAAAAAATCTGATTTGGATGAAGTTTGGTTTGAAGATGAAAATGTGTTTGGACATACATTTTCAAAATATATTTCCTAACTTCATTTAGGAAAAACATGTATATGATTCCCAAGTTTTGGGATTTTGGCACAAAATCAGCAATTGGGGTTAGGGCTGGGCATATATCGGGTATAACCGATAGCCCGAACCGATAAAAGCTTATTGGGGTATCGATATCGGGTAATCGGTTTAATGGTTCGGTAACATTTTGTATTTTTTCACTATTGGGTTATCGGTTCGGGCCACGGGTTGCCCAATTTCTTAACGGGTTAACCGATAACCTAATAAGATTTAATAAAATTAGGATTTTACCCAATTTCTAGGGCTTCATTCTCTCTTTTTCTCCTAATTTTCCCAGCCACATTCAAGATTGCAGTTTCAATGTTCACTCTTCAGACTCTAATTCAATTTTTGAATAGTTCTTCTTCAAATTTCAATGTACAACCACATTCTTAGAATCTTAGCGTAAATTTGTATTCCAAAATTACTTCTTTGTTAAGAACAAATTTCATTCCTTTCTTTTGAGTTTTACAGTAAAGTTCGATAATAAAAATATAGAATTTTTGATTGTTTTCAATTCTTTATTTTGTGCTCATGTTTAGTACTATGTTTGTACTTTTAAATTTTAAGGTGAAATTGCTACTACTTTGTATTGTTATTAATGTAGTTGGATTGTTGAAGAATTAACACTATTTCAGTTGTATTTGGACAACTTTTGAATTACTAGTACTCGTATTGCTCTTGATACCATTGAACTCTGGAAAATGATTGATCTCTTGATTATAGTTTGGTAGGAACCCAAAAAATTGTAATTTATGTTCCTATTAACTAATATTTCCAGTGAAATGGATATGGAATGCTTGTGGAGTTGTAGTATCAATTTTTGAGATTGCACATGTCATGAATTTGTCAAAATGAAACATTCTTCAAATATTAGTTGTGGCTAGAACGCAGAATTAGGTAGTATACTATATGTTAATTCTTCTCTTTTTTGCTTAACTCGAGTGAATTGTCTTCTCTTTTTTGCTTAACTCTAGATTGAGTTATCTTATCGGGTAAACCGATAACCGAACTGATAATGATCTAACTGATTAACCGATAACTAATATCTTATCGGTTTGATTATCGGTTTCTCATATTTGTAAACCAATAACCGATATGCTAAACCGATACTATTTATAACTGAAACGACTGATGCCCACCCCTAATTGGGGTGATTCTAAGATTTGGGATTTGGGATTTTGCCAAAATGTGGGCAAAATTTATGGCCAAACATGAGTTTTGAAAATAAATCCCAAATTTATTTTGGCAAAACTCATGGCCAAACGGGGCCTAAATTGCGAGCTAAGTTGGGCCAACCTAGTGGGCCAAACGCATATTAACAACTATACTCAGAAATATTTATTAAAAACTTCACCAAATACTAAGATTGGAAATGAAATGTCCCAAATAAGTCCTAACTTACCAACCTCTAACCATTAATTATAAACTTACCAAAATTAACCAAAATAAATAAGGATTCCAAATTCTATCCAAGAATCACACGTAAATATCTCCTTCCATATTTTTAAACGTGATGAAAAGATGGAAAGAAAATTTCATGAATGAGGTAGAAAAAAGGTGATTATATATATATATATATATATATATTGATGACCCAAAAGGTCATCACTTGCTTTTA